CGAAACGTTTCGCAAATTTCACCGTCTTTACGCATTATTTGGTCATCAAGGTATCATTATTATTACTACTACTTTTATTATCATTATTGTTGTTATTATTCCTATTCTGATTGCTTGGAAAATGCGTATCTCAGCGCTAGTATACAATTTCATACCTTTGTTTTTGATACGTTACACTTGTCAGTTACATCATCTGTCAGCCATTTGCCAATGATTCACCTGTATTGCTGATTAAACGGTTTAGTTCGGTGACACTCGTTCATCAGTGCAATCGCCAAGTGCTACCACTCGATCGTTTATGCGTCTAAATACCGAATTTCGCCAGAAATCTGTCGAGAAACGACCGCAGTTAAGTAAAGCACAGTCTGTATATGATCCCAACTGCACACCGCAAAGCAATGGTGCGTTCCTTATGTACCTTATTGTCAGTGTTGTTGATGATAGTTATTGCCGTTTTGACCGGAGTTGATTTCATCTAACTTATTACCGATCTTTTCACTGAAATAAGTAAGTTTTTCGGCTTATTGCCTGATTACTTTGTGGACGTCTAAGCTCAACCACCTCGACGTCGGACCCAACATTTATTGCTTTTCACTGCTAAATTCATTTAATGACCACGTATCACTGGTCACTGTCCTTGTCATTCACTAGTCTAATGCGAATCCAACCGTTCTCTTTTGTTATTCTTATCTTGATGATACTAACAGACGATGATTATCAGCATTATTGTGATAAGGACAAAATATGTTCAGAGTCATCTGGTCGAGAACTTTCATTTCAACAACACAGTGCAAGTACTACGTCTAGGTTTGCTGATAGCAAAAGTGATGTGCATTCCCCTCGAAAAGATTCACCGAACTCGGACACTTCCGAAAAAGTTGCATTGCCTGAATCGATCACATCGCTGTGTTTCATTCATGCTTGTTGCAAGAAAAATGGTTCGTTTTCCGTTTATTCCTGTACTAAATTGATGCTCGCTCGGCATGATGATTGCTGTTTTTATTATCATTTATACGGGATTTATAGATTCGCGCTCAGTACCATGCTTATGGTTGGGCACATCGATGGGTACCTGTATAGCCTTCAGCCTTTTGTTACCAACTGATCGATTGAATTCCAATGTTGTGGTTGCACCCACAGGTTTTGATTACTATTTTCATTTGTCGTTGATTGTTTGTAAAGTAAAGTAATCGTTAAACCGATATAATTTCATTACTTTTCTTTATTAATTTGCAGTTGTTTTTGATGCAGCGAAAGGTTTGGGAAATGAGTATTGTTTGTTGTTGTTTGATATGTAACTGCGATACGATTATCTAAGTGAGATGATCGTATTATGGAGTGGTGATATTTTGCAGTAGATGATTTTGATGCTTTAAAGATGATGCTGATGCTACTGCTGCTTGTTGATTTCATCATTTATTTCATCTACTTTTCGTAAATTACAAACAATTTTCTAGGATCGATATTCCGATTGAAAGGCCAATTCCTTTATACTGCATTTTTGGATCAGTCGTTTTGTTTACTGACAGCTGCATCGGAAAGTTATCGTGATATTAAGGTTATTTTTGTTTATTATTAGTTTTGTTACTATTAACCCTTAATGGTTACAGTGATTGTTATTATTTGTCGATTGAAGGAAGATGCAAAAGCGTCAAGTGCGAGTAGTAGTAATAATGGCACTGATAGGGCGATAGTAAATAAAGTCGTCACGAAATGTTCCCTTTCACCGACGTTTTCGAATGCTTCTGAAAGCTTCTCGTCGAGAGAGGATGACTTCTCTCAGGTGAGTGTTACTGTTATCTATTGCATTGATTTCATTACTTTATTTTATGCATATGAACAGAACTGGTGATTGACATGACATGCTTATAAGAGTGCATTGCTGCAAAATTGTTTCGAATTATTTTTGTTATTGTGCTGATTGTGTGCAGATTTGTTGTGGTGGTGACTTGTGGGATGAATTGATTCGATGTGCTTGTGGAATGACGATATCAGTGCATTACTTTATTGAGTTATCTGTGAATGATAACTACATCTTGTATAGAATTAAAAACACGGATTATCTTGAAGCATTGTTACGTTATGAAGTGATATGCTAGACAACTGAAAAAATACTTACTGAAATGTGGTTATAAGAATATGAGACGGCATCGAGACAAACAATTGCTCAAGGTGCATATGCGTGCAGTAATCAGATGATAAACTATTAGTGGTAATAGCAAAGAAACAAATTAAACTTGATGGAGCAACGTGAACAAGAAATTTAGCGATCAGAATGGAATGGAACATAATCAGAGTTGAATAGGAATGATGAAACTTTTGAAAATTGAACGTTTAATTATTGAATAGTATTGATTTATTGAATTCCCAAATCAAAAATCAAGTGATCAATTTTTGATAATAACAGTGGGTGTGAACGTTTGATGAGGAGTTTTTGACGATTAGATACTGAATATTTTCGAATTGTTCTCTTTGTTTCATAAAAATTAGCTGATGATTATTAATTAGAATTGAATTGTTGGCGATTATTTTTGGAAATTTGTTTGTTTGTTTGTTTTCGAATTCTTTTGTATCTGGGAATGAATTTTTTTGCTGTTTTTTGAAATTTTTGAGAAGAAATCAGTTGTCGAATTCGGAGAAAATTGAATTAGTGAGAGTTTCGAAAGTGGAAAATGATCAAAGGCGATGACTGATCAAAGAGGATGTGTTAAAAAAGCCTATGGAATGAAAAGCATGATGGCGATCAGTTGATGACGGACGAACGGATACACCGATCAACGGCATCCTTCATGTGCACGACATTGTTGCATGCATTCGTCCAGTTTCGCTGTCAGCTCGTCAAGTCTCTCCTCGATACGTTGATGGTGTCGATGGTGATCGCCTGTATAATGCGATGGATAAACGTCACCGTGATGTCTTTTTGTCATGGCCGGACAGCACTCACCGTGTCTTGACATTGCGCAACACGCTTGTCCGAACATCATCGGACAGCATTCTCCACCCTTTCTTTGTGAGCAGCAGTATTGACACTGCCCCATTCCCATGACCGGACATTTTGACATTATCGGACAGCATTCTCGGCCCTTCTTCATCGAACAGCATTCTCCACCCATTCCCATGACCGGACAGCATTCACCTTTCTTGTTGATAATCGGATAGCAGTGACCCTTTTTTGTGAGTTTACAGCAAATGATACGACCATGTTTCGTGCTGTGTTTATGTCCGCTTCTCATTGGACATACACCCTTGTAATGATGATATCTCTTGAAAAGTTTTTTGTATCGTTTGCATATACCCGATGAAGAGGATGATGAGGAGCTACTCGAGCTAGAGCTTGAGCTCGAGGAACTGGACGAGCTGCTTGAACTGCTGGAACTCGAAGTGCTGCTGCTTGAGCTGGAACGGTGGTGTTTCTTTCCTTTTTTGGCGTGATGTTTGCGCGCATATGGACAGATTTGTTCTGGACATACTGCACCTTCGTGCTTTGCTTCCTCCTCTTCGGCCTCTTCCTTGGCGGTGCCCTTTCCGTGGTGATGGCCATGTTTTTTTGCACGTCTCTCTCGTTCCATTTGATCCAGAACCGCGTCTTTGGGATGTGTCTCAATGATGACTGAATCTTTCCTCTGATCGATCGCTTCCTGAAGTGAATCATTCGAATCCATCAAGATACTATCCCCTTCGGCGTCCCTCCAATAGATATCACACTGATCCTCACGGAATCCACCTTGCTTAAGTCTCTCAATCAGATGCTCCAAATCATTGTCATCCTCGTTAAATACCGAAGAGAAACGTCTGATATTGTTGCCGTCATACCATTTGAAATGTACTCGAACACCCATTTTGAATCGACTGATCTGAAATTTCACATAAACGACATATATTTATGCATATATATATAATTTACCGAAGAGGGCATCGTATGGAACGTGTATTTTCCACTATCGAATAAACACTATAAGGTCACGAGGGGTAATACTGTGTAAGGAGAAAATTGTATTGGATGAGTGTAGAAGAGCGAGTTGGATTGAAGTGAATAATGGCGAAGGGTTGAAGTTTTGATGGTAAGGTGATAATAGTTTAGAGTGATTTGAAACTTATCATCGTGGCTATTTATACGGTT